GCTTATAAAAAAATAATTTTTGCCCAAAGTATTTGGGCAATTTCGGCTACTAATAGAAGCAGTTTCGACCAGAAACCCTACTTCTAACTCTTGTTTGGTTATCTCTAACTTGGCAACTATTTCTTCCAAAACAGCATTCTTTTCTTTTAATTCCTCTTTTTTTTGGTAAGTAAAACCAAAAGCTTCTTCATAATTTAATGCTTCACTACCAAAATTTTTAACAATATTTTCAGGAGTGAATTCATCACTGAAAACAACTCTTCCAATTTCAATTCCAATCTTTTCTGGATAAATTATTCAACCATTGTTAGGTCAAGTAAATCTTTCTAAGGTACTTAAACTTGTTCCAGTATATTCTGAACTTTCAGTAAGACTGTGAACTGCATTTCAGATTTTTAGTTTAAAGTTTTCTTCTTTTTCAGCTAATTGTTTTTTTAATGTTTTGATTTCTTCTAATGAGTTTTTATTTTTTTTTTGTTGTTCTTTTAGAATGTTTGCCATGATTTTCTTATTTTAATAATACTTGTATCCTTTTTATAGTTAAATATAAATTATTTTAGTACTTTTTACTTTAAAAGTGGAAAAAGCTAGCAATATTTGTTAAAAGATTAAGCTTATTAAACTTGATGACAGCAAGGAAGTGTTGTATAATTTTGAGGGTTCTGGGACAATGGCAAATTTTTTGTTGATTTTTGATACATTTTTAATACCATTTTACATCATTCAAGCTCCTTGATATCTATTAAGCAATTTTCAGACATCTTCCAAAAACAACAACCAATATCATCTCTGAAATCCTATCAGAAGCTAAACAGACAAATAATTACAATAAAATCAATAAAGGAATAAAATTTTCCAATTAAAGATAACATAATAGTATATAAAAAACAATGAAAATGTTTACATATATAAAACAAGCAATAGCAAATTTCTTAAACAATAACAAGGACCCATTTGATGCAGGAGAGCTTCTAGAGGTGCAGGAAATAGTAGAGTATGTAGAGGTAAAAACACTGCATTTATCAGCAGAAGCTTTAACTCAAAAGAAAACAAGAGCTAAAGTTATTAAATCTGGAAAATATGCTAAAAATAAGGGAGAAAAGGTTCCAGACTGGAGAAGATGCGTTATTCTAAGATACAATGAAATAAAGAACTGAAATTTAAATCCTGAGAGCAAATATTACACTACTGCTAGAATCAATAATTTTATAAGAGAAATTGAAGAAATTGAATCTAAAGGTATTTAAATCATTATTCAGATAATCTTTCCAATATTTTATTTTTTATCAGGAATAGGTAAAGCAATAAAGAGGTTATTTATTTTGTAACTGAATATAGAATTCAAAGAATCATAAATCAAGAAGCTAGAATCCAAAGAGGGACAACCCATAATATTAATCTTTCCAGAAGGCCAAATAAGAACACGAGTATTTTTACCAGATGCATTAAACTTGATTGAAAGTTTGCAGATTCCATCAAGAGGATTACTAACATAGTCAATAGGAAAAGGTGAAGTAAAATTATCTGAAGAAATGATATCATGCATTTTTGATATATCAATAAGAGTATTTTCAGGTAAGATAACATTAAATTTATAATTCAACAATGAAAGATTATAACTAACAACACTAACTGATTCAAATTCTGGAAGCCCACTATGTTTAAGAAAATCAATAATATACTCAACAGCAATCTCACTAGAATGAAATTTTTCATCTATAACACCAAACACCTGTAAATCTCCACTCCTAGGAAAATAGCACATTTTATAAGTCTTATCATCAATTAATACAATAAACTCAAGGCAGGATTGAAAGCAAGTACCATCACCAATCTTTTTTCGTTCTTTATAGCGAGGTGTAGCTATTAATTTCTTCTTAGAAGGTATTAACTTCTTAGGTCTATTTATAAATTCTTCAAACCCATCATAAGCTCTATGAACAAAATTACTATCAATTGCCAAAATATTTTTAGTAGGCTTTAGTTGTTCTCCAAGATCTTTATAATTAAGATCTTTAACACTAATTTTAACTGAATATGTACAAAGAGAAAGGGATAATCCACTCAAGATAGTATTTTTTCACTCATTTTTTTATAAGATATATTTTTATATAGTAATACTTTTTAAATTTATAAGTTTAAATCAAAATTTCAATATGAATATTCCCACTAATCCTAGATAGAGAAGCCTCTAGATCATCATATGAAATCTGATACCATCTATGAATCCGATATCTAACCCTTCTATGAAGTAATTTTACATCAAGCATTCTAATAAGAAAACCTAAATCTCAAGGGCTAAGAAGATCAAAGACTTTATCAGAATAAAATATATAGAAATCAGAAACCGATTCATCAATACCTTTCAGGAAATAAAGATAATGTCTTTTTATAAACAAAATTAGATCGCAAAGATGTCTACTCATAATGTAAAATATGTTAACACTATGTGTATACATTATATCTTTAAATTATAATTAATGTTAACACTATGCATATACAATAATTTTTTGTTACATAAATGCCAATCATTTTTTATCAATTGAACAAATAAATTCTACACATCCCCAAGTAGAAACTCGAAATTTACAGATTTAGGGTCATGGTATGACCTTCATGTCAGTAATGTGATGTCTGATTTCCTACCCACACCCCCCTATAAATGATCAATCAAATAAAAAACTGTTAAGATTACTTATTAAATTTTCTTATGTGAAAAATCACTTTTTTAGAAATTTACATTTTTGCCACTATTCCTTTCTTCTAATTTCCTTCTTTTGCTTCCAATACTAAGCCTTTCACACCGGTTAAAAACTATATTATTAATTCATTTCAATATACTTGTATAAACAAAACAAAAAAGATATATATAATCTTACATAATTAAGTCTAACTCCTTTATGGCCATCAGGAAATTAATTTATAAATCTTATGACACCAATGTAATATTGCATAAATCTTACAGTGCTGACATAAGTTTTACACTTTTTTATTATTAAACTTACAATTGACACGTGCAAAAATTTTTTATATTTTCCAGATGATGTCATGATTTGTGATGGTAAATGGAAAAGTGACACAGTGGTTCTGCCATGTCCCTTCATTGAAATACCTTTTTTTTTAATGTAATCGTTATTATGGATGCAAAAGCTAGCAAATTATTTGGTAGTCATATATATATTAGTGTATTGGTTATATATATATTAATGTGTATATATGTATATATTAAGAAAAATATATAATACAAACTTGCAAATGATTTTTCATTTCATTAATATTAATTTCACTTATAATTTCGTTGCCATTATTTATTATACAGCTCTTTGTATCCGAAATGATAGCCCATTCCTCATCAGTGAATCTATTCCTAAACCAGGATGTGGATTTGACATGTCTATTATTGAAGATGTGATTGGATCATTTCGATCTAAATGTGATGGTGCAAATGCATTAAAGACTAGTGCTGTAATCCAAAAAAGGAAAAAGTATGGTTGCAAAAGTGGTTGCAAAGGTAATTGCAACCACTTTTTATATGCTGTAAATAAAATTACTACCACCATCATAATTTACAGCACTAGTCTTTAAGATGCATTGATTATCTCTTTGATTCTTGTTTGCAAACAAGGTTGTCCTTCTGACAACAGTGAAGAAGATGATGACAGCAAATTGTTCTCAATGTTCTTGATTGGTTTCAATATAGTTTTTTTTATAACTTTTTAACCTAAAATAAAAATAGGTAATTAATTAATGTTATTATTATAAAAAATAAACAAACTATTGTATGAATGAGTACATACATCAAGTTTCATTAAGTTAAAATTGTTTTTGGGAACTTTTGCATCTACAACCTTTTTTGTTAGAGGAAATAATGAGCTTTTTTTTATAATTTCTATTATGATAATTTGGGTTATGAATCAATCATATCGACTTTATTTATTTAATTACAGTCGAAGATTATTTTATGTAAAAGTGTTGTGTTTATTATCAAAATGTGTTAGGATATTATATTATTTAAAGATTAATTATTCCAAGATTTTTTACACTGAAGGGAATTCCAAACGTATTTATACTTCTTGAAGTGTTACAGATAACGTGGCTTTTACCTAATTTTGTCCAATAAAACATACATGGAATGTTGTAGAATAAAAAAAAAGCCAAGTAAAATGATTACTAATTTTACTAATTCTAAATGCTAAAAACGCGTAACATTATAAAAGGAATTGATCGACAATAGTCGGGATTCAAGTCGGTCGGTCCCTCTTCTCACATGCATCAAGGATCATACTTTCACGTTTAATCTTTCTTCTTAAAATTTTAAACACCATCAAATTTGCGATTTTGAATAAATAGAAAATTATCGAATAAAAATTTATAACAATAATTAAAAATTCACAATCAATACATACTATCCATAGCTTAGTATCAAAATATTTGGTAGATTATATAAACAACAGTATTGAGAGCGTAACTTCTTTCTAATCACATAAAATTATCCACAGAAAAGTCAGTAATGATAAAAAGAATTAGTTAAAATACACAAAAACACTTACCAATGTGTTAGTACGCGTTGAGCTATATCATGTGCTTCATTAAAGTATGAATCGAATCTTCCTTGTTCATTGTTCTCTTTATACATATCTGGAATGTAAGTAATCAGTTTTGTATAACCATATCATTCCAGAAAGTTAACCTGGAGCAAGAACAAATGTTTTGTACAAAAAGTATATATCAAAATTCATAATATCTCAGTAGGATATCTAATTTCATTTGTTTCCTTAACATCACATGTTTTGCCTTCTTCATCTTCTATGTCGGTTGTTTCAGAATCATAACTCACAACTTCACCACTAGTAGTTTTTTTGATCTATATAAACGTCCGAAAATGCCTTTCTCGGGATTACCTGCAGTTGTATTCAATGTTAACCTTCTTGGTCCTTGTAGGAGAAATTAAATCTGGGTGCAAATTACTATCAGGAGCACGTTTGGATGTTGATGACACACCAACGAGGAAAACCTTCTGAAGAGAGATTTTCAAGATTATGTTTCACAGCTTCGTCTAAAAGACTAAGGCTTTCAAGAATGTGGATTTTACTATCAGCTGCTTTGCATGTTGTTCAAAGTTAGTAACATATTGGCAAGAATAAATTACAGTGATACATAAGGGTTGACTCACCTTCTTCCATTTATGGATCACTCCCTCCAAATAAGCTTGCAACTGTTGTTCGAACGTTTAGAATCCACTTGTTGCGGGAATAATATGATGGTAAATTGACAATTCAAACGAAAAAAAATGCAGGTTCTCAATGGTAGAACCCAGAACGTGGATTGATTCTTCAGATCAAAACATGGACGAACCAGAAGTGCCACCACAATCACTTGTCCAAAACGTGGACTGTCTAGGAGCTCCCTTTAGTTAAATAAAAGAAAACAATACCCTTCTCTTTAAATTGCAAAAGCAGTTGATTTGAGCCCTTTTACTTCTTTTAAAAATCTACGAGTCTAGGCACAATCGAAGCCAATCACATGAAAATGGTAGTGAAGGTAGGATGAAATCAGGGTAAAGAATCAAAAATTCACAGTACGGCTAGATTGTGTGTTCATTCAAGTAAGAGATTAGAAGCTTGGAAAGTGAAAATTTTCAAATTGCATGTTGAGCCATGGAACTTACCAAATTAACCAGGATAGTGTTTGGGTGAAGACATGTTTTATATCGGATGTAAATTTAGGTTAAAAATGTTTTTTTTATGAAGTAATTAATTTAATACAGAATTTCAAATTTCAAATGAATGTCGTAACCATACCATATTAAAAAAAAAAAATGTTATATGGTGTTCTCAAATAAATCATGATGTAATTCAATTAAATGTAAATAGAAATAATAATATAGTTTTTACTTTGTCATCTGGTGGGAAGTTGCTTTTATTAGAAGCGAGGGAAATTAAATAGTAACTTTCACTGTATTAAAGAAATATATATTTTATTATAATCATCAATTAGACTTTACTATTGGGTGTAAAACCAAGAACAGATTGTTGTTTGCACTTATGACATCTGATGGCGGTCAATTTTCATGGAGTTTTATCAGAAGCAAAGTCTTTAATGCAGTAATTTTTTACTAATGAAGGGATCATTCAGTATTGCAAATTTATGAGAAATTGTAGGTAAGTGTAAAGCAATGTTTATTTTCTATTCTTTAAAATTTAAATTTGAATGTCAACGAGGCTTATTTGAGAGAAAGACTTTTTTATATACAAAAATATTTGTTTATATTGTTTATATTACCATTTTAAAAAAGACTTTACAAGTAGATGCAAAATATGGCAATTTTATCGATTGGAAGATTGACGTCTTATCCATTTTAATTAAATACTAATATGTATATAATAATAATAATTAATGTTTAAAGTAAATGTTTATTTATACATATATAATAATAATATATTGGATGCATATGCATAGGTGTCCAGGGCTATGCTTTGAATAATTAGGTATATTGTATTTATCATATCATTATTTCCTATCTATCAACCATCAAATATAACTAGGGATAGGCAGAATGCAAAATTTTTAGTTTATGGTGCGCATAATGCGTATAATCAATTATGAAAATTTTTTTAGTACATTTAAACGTGAAAAATAAGATCTATGTGAATTTGCAATTCACATGTATGTAATTCAAATTAGCCAATCAGAATTTCATATTTTCAAACAAAATATTGATTGACGAATTTGAATGTCTTGTGGTGATTATATTATTTTGTTCTATTGGCAAATGAGAATTGTTACATTGCTTTGCATTAGGTTGAAAATTTGGACCAGAATACCCTTGGAGAGCTGTTATACCTGCTCTAACAACAGCAGTTTATTTCATAGTTATAATATTTGCATTGTGCACAGGTTGCTGGAAACCTGATACTTGGCCAAGTTTATTGAAGTGTGTCCAAATGGGATTAGCTGGAGGCATTTAAAATTTTATTTTACACAAATTTGTTATCTATATCATGTGCATAATGCTCCACATAATCTTTACAAAAAAAAGTATGGAAAATAAATATACATGTTTTCATTATTTTTTTAATAGGAAAGATGAGTTTATTGCTAGCAAATTTTTTTGTATATTTTAGTGCACGAATTTTACCTATTATTACAAATATTTATTATGTGCATTCTTGTCAAACTTGAAAAATATAAAATGTAAATTAAAAATATCATAATTATCGTCATCATCTACTTTCATTAGTGTAGTGTTTATTTCCAAAACTAGAGAGTTTCCCGTGCGAAAATCAAAAGGTTTCGCCATAAATCGAAACCAGTTTGATTTTTGACTATTGACTATTGACTTTTGATTTAGTTTTGACATATAACTTTTGATTTTAGTTTTCTCTTCAAAATAGTTTTGGCGACCAACTCTAACTTTCATTTTCGTTTTTCCTTTGACTCCGATATTTTCATCAATGTCATCAATGTCATCACCATCATTTATTATGGTCTTAGCGGTAGAAGATGAGGATGAGAACGAATTAGTGGACGCATACTTATATTCGTAATTATATTGTGTGCTGAGAATTTTTGGCTTATAATCTTCATTCCATTTCTGGTAATTCGGAAATGTATCATTTGCTTTAGAAATTATACCAAATGCTTGTGTATATATATGTCTTTTTCTTGGTCTTTTTTGATATCACCAAGAAAATTACCGATACCAAAAATGTGTTGAAATCATGCTTTCACCCTTTGATCCACCTTCTCAAATTCTGTTGTTTTTGGTATCTGAGGTGTTTTCAATGTAATAGGCCAGTCTATATGCCGAGATTCTGCTATTTCCCTGAGAACACTTGAAACAAAGTCATCAAATAAAGGCTATCTGGTTTTGCGCATGGCAATTTTAAGGCATCTTTTGGGTCTTAATTACAAAAAGAAGCTACCAAAAGCCGCCTTGATGTTAACTGAAGACCACAAATGAAAACAAGCAGAATGGGCGCAGAATCATCTGAATTATTTTTGTTTTCGTATTCCTTTAACATATTAATGTTATAAATTTTTAATTGTTTCTTTGCATGCAGTACCTTGAATTTCTTTAATTTCTCCTACAGTAAAATATAGATATAGTAAATGAGTACGCTAAAGTGTAATAATAACAGAAAAGTAAATCCAAATGCAAATTTCATAACCAGAAAAACATTTTACACATGACAATTTTTTTGAAATACTTGATTTCAAATTTAGTTAAAACTTTATCCCTTGATTTCAAAAAGACAATAATAATAAATTTATTATAACCAATTCAAAGTCCTAGATAGACTTACCTCAATTATCATTGAAACCCTGGTTCTTTTATATTTATTGCTCCATAGATATTGATTTTCTTTTTAAAGGGCGCACTAAAAATAAAAATACCGCTATCTTTTCCTTCATAGTTGAAATTTATTTATGTAAAGTTCTTTTAAGGCTACCAGAAACCGTTTATACCAGGCTACTATTACATTAATTTGATTTCTGTTTTTTCAATCATGACATCACAACGAATATTTAAAATTTGTATTTGTAACAGTCCTTTTGTTTTTTTAAACAGAAAATTGAAACCAGAGAAATTTATCAGAACTAAAGTCATATTATTACAAACAATCAAACAATCTTTGTTACTATATAATTAATTAGCATTATTAATAAGTAATATTCCCCTTGATTTAACAAGAATCTGGAATAAAAAACTAAGAAAAGAATAACTATGTTAATATGGGTCGCAATTTGTAATCAGGCCTCACTACGTGGTTTTTTGTCAGTATGTAGGCGTTGCAAGGTGACTGTTGACAAAATTAGAATATGACGACAGCAAGTTTGACTTTATATACTGAGACAAGCAAATATTTATGAGCAGAATTCTAACACCGCCTTGATTATATATCCATTGCTTAAAGTATACTGGGAGCAACTAAAAGTGTCACAAATCATGGATGAAATTTTGATTGATCAGATTACCACCAAATGGTTTCGATTGTTAGTTGATGATTTATTATTGTTAAGAGTAAATTAATTGGCGCACAATTTTATTGTTCAAAAACGATTCTATGCTACAATGGTCTCAACTTATTTTATCAAGGAAGCAGAGGCAAATAGTCTGAATTTATGGTCTTTACATCATAATTAATGAATATTTTGTTATGCAAAACAAAGAATATATGTTCATCAATAATTTCACATTTTTATCAGGAAAACAGTTGTAAAATATTAGTGCACAATATTTTTAATATATTAACTAAAGAGTACTGACTGCCTCCATTCTTTTTACCAGAACCATAAGCTGGACCCGATGTTGTGGCTAGTGTAATTTTCCTGAAATAATTAGGAAAACCACATGCACTTATAATGACCTGGTTTATTTTCTTCAACTAGGTATTTTTGTTTATCTTCAGGCAAAATTATGTAACCACTTACCTAAGGCTGACAATGCACAATCTTCTTCAGTGACAGTATGCTGCTCATTTCTTTATAATGCAAAGGCTCAAATAATGAGGTGCAAGAGATACTTCAACAGAAATACAATAAAAATTTTCAAGTACTCATTGTCATTCCAATAGTTGTTGAATTAGAATGAAATCGGAGAACAGGGATGATGATATTCAATTACTAATAAAAAATAGGCGAGTGGCAATTATTGGCATATATAGTAATAGAACTCTTAAAGCAGTTGAGTTGGAACATTATAATTTTAATGTTACA